GTTTTTCAATACCAGACGGTTGTTCATCATCATCATTCCGTAACACTTCGTGTCGTTGGGTCACCAGTTTCTGTTAACTGTCTGATCATCTCTGTCCACATTTTGGCGGTCAGTTGTGATGGACTTCATGGTTGCATGCCTGAGGCCTGCCTGTCCAGTCAGTCAGGTTCTGTAGCCAGAGACAGTTGTTACTCTAACTTATTCTAACTCACGTTAAATTAGTGGCAGAAAGCATAGACCCACTGTCACCCAACGAGCATGCCGTAAAAGGCGACTATTTATGGATGTTTATTTGCAGTCGGAGTTCATCTGTGTGAGAGGCGAGGAATCAACAGTCGCATACAAAGCTAGAGCTTTAAAGCTGATGTGTACACAAAACTCAAGTTCTGAAACAAAACCAAAGTGCAGAAGTGGGTGAACAACAAGAACTATCCGCTGGAGTTAAGAGCTGATGAGGGTGAATAACAAGAACTATCCGTTGGAGTTAAGAGCTGGTGAATGCCTTAGGAGAAAAAGATTCGTTTCTTATCTCAAATACACATTTCTTGACCAATAAAATCTGCCATAGAGCCGTGTTTTCTCCAGGACATAAATGTAAAATGCTCCGAAATATTACGAGCGTTGCCATAAAACGAAACTTTCACTGTTTCTGCTCGTATCGTCATATTCCGATGCCACAGCAGGGAGTAAATATTATTATGTTGTAGAGTATTTTATCACTTTATTTTTTTTTTTAAATTGTCTGGAGCCTGTCTGGCTTTTAGATGCACGAAGCATACCTTAAAAAAAACTTTTGGATGCACGAAGCATACCTTAAAAAAAAAAAAAAAATCTGTTTCTGGCGTCTGAAGTACTGCGCCAGTCAAAGATGCGCAGTTCTCGAAGACACATGCCCACATTGTCTTGCATTTTTCGAGTTTTGGTACAGCGTGAGCTTTTGCTGTATTTAAATATGTAAACACAAACTTTTGCACACACACAAACACACGTACGCACACACACACGCGCGCGCGCACACACACACTCAGACAGACAGGCAGACAGACGCAGGACAATATAGTGGTGTGAATACGGTGCTTCCAAGCGCAGAATTATAAATATAATATAAGTAGGACGTGTCGGTCGTAATGCGCAGATATCGCAGCTATGCTGTAAACGGGCACAACGCAACTACATCTTCGGATGAACGCAGAAGAAGAAGAAGACATTTTATGTTATACAGATAGCCTTCCTTAACGCAAACACGCTTAAGAAGAACACCAATTAACACGAACAGAATTTTGATATTGGCAGGGAAATTTTTTTTTCTTGCGGACGTTTTATCGGTTAACGCGAATTTTTGTTATCACGTATTGCGAACTGTTTTTACTCAAATAACCCGAAATTCCGAAGCTGTTTATAATTGCTTTCTCTGTTGTTCATGTGCTAGGCATGTAACAAGATTTGTTAGAAGTTAATTATTGTCGAATTAAACGGAGTCTACGTTTTTAACATTAAGGTTAACCGACACAGTCCTTCGACAATCGCGATCATAGTATCAACACAGTCAGCTTCTACTTTAACCAACAGATGCAGTTCAGTAATGCCTTCAGGTTACAGTACTGTAATTTGATATTACCATGTGTTTTTTCTTTCTGTTCTTTAAAACGTCGCTGCCAGCCCCTGCTTCCTTTAATATTTTCGCGTCGTCAGATCAGAAGTTCAAACTGTATTTTAATGTCACTGCTTTTGCAGCTCTCCCTTTACTGTGCCGCCTGATGCTGCCAAATATTTGTATCATAGCACGGTATCATTCTGTGTAGCCAGTACGAGTAACATCAAGATGAGGACTTGCAAGCGCTAAGACGGGAGTCGTGCAAGAGGAAGCAGGCAGACTTAGATCTACACACCAAAGTGAAAATCCTAGAGGAAGTGGACTGTAAGGCATTGAAGAACAGTAGGGATTTGTCGAGTCATCCTTATCTACAATTCTTACAGATCTTCTTCTTTAGAGTCCATGACGTGTGGCTTCGTTGGTCATGTTTGTCCACAACCTTTTGACTTGTGTACTTCCAATCAACTCTGATACAGATGATTCTCCATGCCGTGATGTCAAACAGTCTAGCATCTGTTCTCTCTGTCTCCCCTTGTCTCTCCTCCTCTACAACTTTCCTACCGTCACGATGTACTGTAGTTTTCTCCTTCTCACCACATGACCAAGGAATGTAGATTGTCTTTTTCTGATGTGGTCAATCAGTTCTCAGCGTGAACGTTTCTTTCAAGAAGTCTTCATTACGCTTTTGATCTGTCCAGGGTATCAGTCGTCTATAAAACCATGTCTCCGTAGCTTCCAAATCAGTATTTACTAATTTACTAACTGTCCACGATTCACACCCGTTTGTCAACAAAAAAATGGTAAAAAAAAATTCTTACTGTTGATGTATTCGGTTCTGGAAACAAGTCTTAGGCACTCAGTAGTGTTAAGTACGAAGATATCAAAAAGTTACTTCTAGAATTGTTTAGTAATATGCACGCTTCCAATCTACTTCTAACTGGAGTTACAATTCAATTAATAGTAAATCAAACTGCCAAAAAATTAACACATTCAAGATTTCGCCTGTTGCAGTGTTTAGCTGTACCCGTTCTAAAAAAATCACTCGAACTCACCATTAGTGATTTGTAATAAAGCAGATACAAGTTGATGAAAAAGGAGCAAATAACTGGCTGGAAAAATTTGATGGAGTGAGAGAAAAGTATGTCTTGTGTTATGTGTACAAAATGGATGAAATTAGTTTCAGGCAATACTGCGAGATTCGCACCGTAGAAGACATCAGAGCCTCATTACGTAATATTCCCAAAGACAACACTGGAACACAATAGTCTACATATATCGTGAATACAACACTGTACCCAGTTACAACAATGCAATGTGATTTTCCCGTAAGCACGAATTACGTTTAATACAAACTTCCACCGCGTCCCTTCGAGTTCGCGTTAAGAATAGTTTACTGCAGATAAACACATTTGATCTTCCACATCAACTGAAGGACATCTATGGGATCTACTCTTGCTCAAGGAAATCTCTTCAATGTATACGCACATACACGTAACCTTGCTTATAGTGTTCGATTAATTTTGTCAATTCAGCACAATTACCCTAATCGACGTTATTTATTTTTCCATTTGAATGTGGCTATTATTTCATTACTGGAAATCATGTTTTATTCTGCTGCGGCCATAGAGTAGTTACAACTGACGGTTAAAACCTGTCTGTTTTCGCAGATCCAGCTCGGTAACTGTTTCCTAATGGGAGCTGACATTGTGTGGCTGGCTAGTGTGGAGTCATTTCGTAACGCTTGTGTGGCTACATCTTTAAAGTGTAGAGCATTGCTTCTACATTTAGAATGTATAAATGTAGATTTCAATTACTGTTTTAACATTGAAGACATTGAAATAGTGAGATGTATTTCTGATCAAGGAGAAACTGTTTACAATACAAAATTATTATTTCTTTCTGGGCCAGGCAGGTTATTATAGGTTCCTTTTATTATCGTATGCAAGATAAACATTTGGGATATCCCCTTCGTGCATTATTCTGTAACACTGACCCATTCAACACTTTACGCTACTTTAACTCTTGCTTTGTCATAGTTTATCATTTTTAGCCCTTTAGGACTCAAATAGTGTTTCTCTAAAGTACACAATGGGCATCAGGTATTTCTTGGGAGGTCAAGGTGGGCGGCCTGATAATGACCAAACGATACACGAGTGCTGATTGGTCTTTAACAATTAGTCTTAGCATCATATACCCGCTGGTATAGGGCGTAAAATAAAGCTGTCTTTACTTTACTTTAGGGATTCTCTGTGGTGTAGCGGCTAGGCGCCTGCCTGCGGGTCGGAAGGTCGTAGTTTCGGGTCCTAAATTAGCCGGTTTTTTTTTTAAATTTCAAGAATGACTTTGGCTCCCAGATGGAACCAGTTGAGTGAGTACCAGGTACAGTCCTGCCAAGTAAAAGCCGCAGGTTCGATGCTGACTACATCACCCACAGACTTCCGATTGGTCTATAAAACATAGGTCTAGCCTTATATGCCCAGCATGCATGAAGGCATGAACAAGGTCCTTTTGTTACTTTTTACTTTACTTACTTTATAGATTTGCGACTCCGCTGCCACGAAGTTCATTCTCTGTGTTGTGATTCTTCTTTGTGTAATCAATTAGGGAGATTGGGCCACTAGTGGTGCTTATTGGAGCATGCTCGGTAAGCGATCCTTTATCAGCTAAACTATTCATATACTTGGTTTACCCCTTCTAACGCATCCATTGTGGACTAGCAGACTGGTTGAGTAGCTTCTGTAAATGATACTGTAAAAACACACCTTAACTTCTTATCGGCGGGGTTGTAGAACTTAAGTTTTCTGTTGTGTGCTTGAATCAGTCAACGAAATCCTTGTTTTATAAGCCCTCAGACACACCAACATACATATAGATACGCACACGTACAATAAAAATATTCGTTAACATGAAACCCGAGCAACGAAAAAATCAGGAGTCGAATTAAAAACCTCGTTCTAACAGGGGACTGATAGATATGTTACGAATAATATATCTTTGATGGGACCTAAATTTTGTTTGTCTTAAGCGAGTTCATGTTAAAGAGGTTTCAGTTTACAGTCTTTCACTGTAAACATACACACACACACGCACACACACACACATATATACACACATTTGTTTGTATGTTGACAGAGATGATTTTCAGTTTTTTTTTCCCTAGCCTCGTATACCCACATAACTTACTGCTGTAATCAAAGATTCTTATCACTGTTTTCTACAGATTCATTCAGAAAGGGTGCTTTGAGCTTGTGAATCAACATACGTCGTTTTGTTCATTTGTTTAGATGAGAAACAGGCTGTTTCACGTCTGATGCAATCAAACCCGCGTGTTTGTAACCGACTTTGATCTAGTCAACACCTTCAGTTCTTGTTGTGTTTTCAAAACAATCCAGACCTAGCCTTTAACATGGGAGGCGTCATTTCGTATCTGTTGAGTTTTTTCGCTCCGGCCTCGCAGAACGACACATCTCCAGATCCAACCACCGGTTTGACCCAGAAAGATAGAACGCTTATTATTCAGACATGGAGTATTATAGGGAACAAAGATTCAGTGAAGGAGAATGCGGTTGAGTTCTTCATTCAGTAAGTACTGTTATTATTCTTGTTCTTTTTTTAAAAATGCACTTGTCTAGTGTAAAATATTATTTTTATTTAAATGAGAGTCACAGAAGTGACTAGAGGGTTGCTTACCGACCTGAAGGTTTTGGGGTTACATCCATATTGAGGCGCAACTTAATAAGTGACCAAGCGCGTGAGATCATATTATAATTAGCCGTTGTGGTGTAGCGGCTACAGGCTCGCATGCGTACCTGAATGTCATGGGTTCAGGTATGTACTGGCTGGTTTGTTTTGCACCACTTGGTTGTTAATTGAAGCATGACTAGCTAAATGCTGCAAGCGCCCTTTGGGAGCGAGTAAACAGTATGAGGCAAAAACAAATCATCACGGTCTGAAGAAAATCGGTCAGTGAGAAGTGAACAGGGAATCTGGCTGATACTCAAAACTTAAGGCAGGGACAACAAGGACATACAGTCAGAATGTTACTGGTACCATCTGTACTTGCCGCTGAAGATGGGAGTGGAGCGCTTATGGAAATGTCTCGAGTACTATGATGTCATAACTTCCTCGGATATTTCCCTGGTACCAGATTTAGCTGAATTGACCTTGGGTCCCTAGGTCCTTTATCAATATTTTCTTAATGCTGAATCGAACTCACGACTTTCAGTGTGGCAGGCAAGTGTCTTGTCACGACGGTACACTAGCTCCCCCTGCGATGATACACTACCTCAGCAAGCACAAAGCTCAGTTTTCTGTTTTCTGTTAGATGACTGTGCGCTATTGGCAATGCGACATTACTGAGAGCAAGTCTGTCACTAGCCATTTTATTGTGTTTTAAAATGGTACCCCTCCAGACGTGCATTCTGCAGGGTTAACATCGCAAGCGTAAGATCGCTTCTCGGACTTTTGGCACTGGTCTGGTCAAAGGGATCGGTCACAAAACAAGTAACGGGTAAGCACAAGAGTCACCTCCAAGGGCGGTTTCCCCCTTCAGCCCGGATTACCGACAATTATCCTTCGGGTAGTCGGGTGAAACAACTACAAGTACCGGAATCGCCGTTCATTCTAATAGTCATTGAGCACAGTTGAAGTTTACCGCATCAAGGGGTCCTTGAGATATGGTAAGAATATCCGCATAAATTCTTATAATATACGGGGTTAGGATTATGGCTAGTGTTAAATGACTAGCAACTACTATTAGGCCTAACACTAACACTAACCCCGCCCCTTCCCCTCCATATTATGGAACATTCTGGGGATTTCCATACTGAATCTCGAGGGTCCCGTGAAGCGGTGAAATAACAGAAAAGAACATGGGCAACCACAAAAGGGTTAGAAGTAACCTGTAATTCAGTGCCAAGCGATATCTTTGTGCGTTACATCATATTTTTAGCTGAAACCATTTCTGCTGATCTTCAAAATCTTAAAATGAATTGTTTGTGTATAGACATGTTTGTGTATCGACATGTATGTGTATCGACATGTTTGTGTATAGACATGTATGTGTTTAGACATGTTTGTGTATAGACATGTATGTGTTTAGACATGTTTGTGTATAGACATGTATGTGTATAGACATGTTTGTGTATAGACATGTTTGTGTATAGACATTTTTGTGTATAGACATGTTTGTGTATAGACATGTATGTGTTTAGACATGTTTGTGTATAGACATGTATGTGTTTAGACATGTATGTGTATAGACATGTATGTGTATAGACATTTTTGTGTATAGACATGTTTCTGTATAGACATGTTTGTGTATAGACATGTTTGTGTATAGACATGTTTGTTTGTGTATAGACATTTTTGTGTATAGACATGTTTGTGTATAGACATGTTTGTTTGTGTATAGACATGTTTGTGTATAGACATGTTTGTGTATAGACATGTATGTGTTTAGACATGTTTGTGTATAGACATGTATGTGTTTAGACATGTATGTGTATAGACATGTATGTGTATAGACATGTTTGTGTATAGACATGTTTCTGTATAGACATGTTTGTGTATAGACATGTTTGTGTATAGACATGTTTGTTTGTGTATAGACATGTTTGTGTATAGACATGTTTGTGTATAGACATGTTTGTGCAAAGACAATTATGTGTACAGACATGTTTGTGTATAGATATGTTTGTGTTTAGACATGTTTCTGTATAGACATTTATGTGTATAGGCATGTTTGTGTAAAGACATGTATATGTATAGACATGTATGTGTATAGACGTATGTGTTTAGACATGTTTGTGTATAGACGTATGTGTTTAGACATGTATATGTATAGACATGTTTGTGTATAGACATGTTTGTGTATAGACATGTTTGTGTATAGACATGTTAGTGTATAGACATGTATGTGTATAGACATCTATGTTTATAGACAGGTATGTGTATAGATATTTTTGTGTTTAGACATGTTTGTGTATAGACACGTTTGTGTATAGACATGTTTGTGTATAGACATGTTTGCCTATAGATATGTTTGTGTTTAGACATGTTTCTGTATAGACATGTATGTGTATTGACATGTATATGTATAGACATGTATATGTATAGACATGTATGTGTATAGACGTATGTGTTTAGATATGTTTGTGTATAGACATGTATGTGTATAGACATGTATGTGTATAGATATGTTTGTGTATAGACGTGTATGTGTATGGACATTTATGTGTATAGACATGTTTGTATATAGACATGTTTGTGTATAGACATGTTTGTGTATAGACATGTTTGTGTATAGATATGTTTGTGTATAGATATGTTTGTGTTTAGACATGTATATATATAGACATGAATATGTATAGACATGAATGTGTATAGACGTATGTGTTTAGACATGTTTGTGTATAGACATGTATGTGTATAGACATGTATGTGTATAGACATGTTTGTGTATAGACGTGTATGTGTATTGACATGTATGTGTATAGACATTTTTGTGTATAGACATGTTTGTGTATAGACATGTATGTGTATAGACATGTTTGTGTATAGACATGTATGTGTATAGACATGTTTGTGTATAGATATGTATGTGTATAGACATGTTTGTGTATAGACATGTATGTGTATAGACATGTATGTATATAGACAAGTTTGTGTATATATATGTATGTGTATAGATATGTTTGTGTATAGACATGTATGTATATAGACATGTTTATGTATAGACATGTTTGTGTATAGACATGTTTGTTTATAGAAATGTTTGTTTGTGTATAGACATGTTTGTGTATAGACATGTTTATGTATAGACATGTTTGTTTGCGTATAGACATGTTTGAATATAGACATGTTTGTGTATAGATATGTTTGTGTATTGACATTTATGTGTATAGACATGTATGTGTATAGACATGTTTGTGTATAGACGTGTATGTGTATATAAATCTATGTGTATAGACATGTTTGTATATAGACATGTTTGTGTATAGACATGTATGTGTATAGATATTTTTGTGTATAGACATGTTTGTGTATAGACATGTATGTGTATAGACATGTTTGTGTATAGACATGTATGTACATGTTTGTGTATGGACATGTTAGTGCATAGACATGTATGTGTATAGACATGTTTGTGTATAGACAGGTATGTGTATAGATATGTTTGTGTTTAGACATGGTTGTGTATAGACATGTTTGTGCATAGACATGTTTGTGTATAGACATGTTTGTGTATAGACATGTTTGTGTATAGACATGTTTGTGTATAGACATGTTTGTGTATAGACATGTTTGTTTGTGTATAGACATGTTTGTGTATAGACATGTTTGTGTATAGACATGTTTGTGTAAAGACATGTATGTGTACAGACATGTTTGTGTATAGATATGTTTGTGTTTAGACATGTTTCTGTATAGACATGTATGTGTATAGGCATGTTTGTATAAAGACATGTATATGTATAGACACGTATATGCATAGACATATGTGTTTAGACATGTTTGTGTATAGACGTATGTGTTTAGACATGTTTGTGTATAGACATGTTTGTGTATAGACATGTATGTGTATAGACATGTTTGTGTATAGACATGTATGTGTATAGACATTTTTGTGAATAAACATGTTTGTGTATAGACATGTATGTGTATAGTGCGTTCCAAAATTCGTTATCTCACACTTTAACCAATGTCTCGAAAACTCCTGTACGGATCAACAGGCAAGTGTGCGTGAAGCCATTCTTTTCCATTTCCTTATGATTTATAACCGAACAATTACTAAGGTACATATTTTTACAGTTGCGCAAGACTTCTGCAACGGACTTTAAACCCCCTCCCCCTTTTTTCATTAACCCTTTCTGTCCAAGACATTCGCTGTAACAATGCATATTCTTGTTAATAATTTATTTAAGTCTGCTTAAGCAGTAGTTGTTGACATTTATGCGATGGAAATATTTATTGCTTAATCTTTTATCCTTCGCCTCATTGTTTCCCTCTTGCACGACATTGCTTCGTTCCTGGACAATATTGCTTCCCTCCTGGATTAAATTACTACCTTTCCGGACAATATTATTTCCTCCCCAGGACAACATTACTTCCTTCCCGAAAGACATTATTTCATTCCCGTATGACATTATTGTCTCCCCGGGCATTATTATTTCCCTTCTGACGACATTACTTCATCCCCGGACCACATTACCTCCTTTCACAACAAAATTCATTCCTTCCCGCACTACATTACTTCCTCCCCGGATGACAGTATTTCCTACCCAGGCAACGTTATTTTATCTCCGGACAACATTGCTTGCTTTCCGGGCGACATTTGCTTCCCGGACGACATTGCTTGCTTTCAGTACGACGTTTTTTCCTTTCCGGTCAACATTATTTCCTCCCCGGACGACATTACTTCCTCCCCGGACGACATTATTTCTTTCCCGGACAACATTATTTCCTTCCCAGACAACATTATTTAATTACCGGACAACATTATTTCCTCCACGGACGATATTATTTCCTTCCGGACGACATTACTGCCTCCCCGAAAAACATTATTTCCTCCCAGGACGACATTATTTCCTCCCCGGACGACATAACTGCCTCCCCGGACAACATTATTTCCTCCCCGGACAACATTATTTCCTTCCCGGACGACATTACTGCCTCCCCGGACAACATTATTTCCTCCCCGGACAACATTATTTCCTCCCCGGACAACATTATTTCCTCCCCGGACAACATTATTTCCTCCCCGGACAACATTATTTCCTCCCCGGACAACATTATTTCCTCCCCGGACAACATTATTTCCTCCCCGGACAACATTATTTCCTCCCCAAAAGAGCTAGAAGATGAACCATATAGCTCCCTAACACGACCAGCTGTAAAAGAGGGAGTTTTGAATACCGTTTTCATTTCTACACATTAAAACGTCCAATTTCAATGATAACATAAGCGTTTCGCTTTCATTACTCCAAAGTACACTGTCTTTAGACAGATCTGTTAAACGGATGTGCACGCAACACTCAGGTTCTTGAACAAGACTAAAGTCCGGAGGTGGACAAACAACAAGCACTTTTTGGCGTTTACAGCCAGTTGAACGCAAAGAAGAAGAAGATGGATAAGTTTAAAAAAAAAAATCACTTTATTCAAGTAAAGAGCATTAAAAACATTGGTTTTCAGTATACTTTCTTGAAATATTATGACTTTAAAATTACTATGCTTTTGTTCCATTACTTCTTCAAAGTCTGCAGCAATCAAATATAATTTTATAATCACATTATCCAGATTCTACAGTAGTAAGATAGCTATAGTGTGTCATATATTCTCTAATGTTGTCAACATTGATTACTGGGCAACATCAAGACAACTATAATTTTGTACATTCTCCAACGTCTTAAACATTGATTACTGTGATTAAAAAAAAAAAAACATTTTTATCACCCCCGGAACTCTACAACAATTAAATTATTATACATTGTTTTTATTCATCTCCCCAAAGACTACAGCACTAAGATTATTATTATGTTTTAATAATTTCTCAAAAGACTACAACATTAGGATAATAAGATAGCTTTAACTGTCCTCTCTACTCCAAAGTCTTCAACATTAAGATAACATGTCTCTCTGGTCATTTTCCTTTTGGCTCTCTGGTTTCTTTTTCAAGGTGTTAACAACAAAATAACTTCATTCTTCTTTTTCTGTCGTTCGCCTGAAATAAGTTGTCTATATAAGCAATTTTGTCTCTTGTATAAATGTCACTGTCGTTGTTAGTTTATTCAGTGGTCCATAGAGTTTATGTTCCACTGTTGTTCTTTCTGGCCAAAAGGTTTGCCTTAATGTGTCAAATTCGGTGCAGTCCTGGAGTACATGCTCTGCTGATTGGGGCACCTTTCCACAGGTCACATGGCTGATACACCTATCTTGAATTTTGTGTACATGAGGTTAGGTAATTGGTTGTGCCCTGCTCTAAGGCGGAGGATAATGACTTGTTCTGATCTGTCCATAATAAAATAGTCGTCTTTTACTGGGGCTGGGAGATTCCTGGTCGATTCAATGATTCTTTTATTTTGGTGGTATGTGACTGGTACATCCGGCTAACCTTTTGTCGCACCTTCCCCTACCAGTTGATCAGCTTTCTCGTTTCCAAGCACTCCACAATAAGACGGTATCCACTGCATTACGACTGTTCGCTGAAGGTTGAGTTTTGTCAGAGTGTTTGCATTTCTGGTAGTTTCCTAGACTGAAGTGCTTCAAGTAAGGATTTTGCATCTGTCAGCATTACCACGTTCTGTGAGCAAAGATTGGTATTTAGCATTTTCTTTTTTGCTATCTTGTTCACTTCATTATTTTGATCTTGTGGGTTTTAGTGCAAAGACATACTAGTTATACTATTATCTGGTTTTCTCACCCAACGCCAGCGTAATTTTCTCAACTCCTGATTCGAGATCCCCAAGATCAAGTAAAATCAAAAAATAAGAACACTGTACTTTACCAGGCATATTGTAATAGGTGACTAAGGACAGAGTTGGGCTCGGGGTTGGCTACCACATCCAGTAAAATAGGGTAGCCACAAAAAAACAAATCAGCCATAAAAAAAAAAAAAAAACCCACCACTTTAAAAAATTATTATTACTATTATAAATTCAAGAAGCTTAAAGATGAATATTTAACCACTTTTTGTGTTTTTACTTCTGCAGGTTGTTTCCTGCATATCCCTACCTTCTGGACTATTTCCCCGTATTTAAAGGGAAACCACTTTCAGAGCTCAGGAAAAGTCCAAAATTACGTGCTCATGCCACCAGCGTATTTTACACCATCACATCCTATGTGGAATCCGTTGACGATCCGGAGACACTAGTCGGCCTGGTCCAAAAGATTGCAGAGTCTCACGTCGGTCGTGGGATAACTCTCAGGGAATTTGAGGTAATGGATCGTTTTATCACACACACACACACGCACACACACACACACATACACACAGACACACACACATACACACACATCCGTCACTCCCATACACATACACACGTAGGCATACACACACAAGCACACACCCCCACCCACACCCCTACACACATGCATACACACACATATACACACACCCACACCCATACACCTACACACACACACGCATACACACACAAGCACACCCGCCCACACACATCCACACACACGCGCTCTCACACACACACAAACGCATATACACACAAGAAGACCCACACACATATGTGTTGTTTTTATTCAGGGTGTCTGTTGTTGTTTCTGTGATTGTGAATAATGATTGTTAGCAACACCACCAACATAACCGCTACCATCAACATCGGCAATACCAATACCATCATTACCCCCACCAAACAATGACAGCTGCCACAATCAAAACCAACAATACCAGTACAACTATACCATTATGATCACCAGCTTTAACAGGTGGACCATCAAACGACCCATATCGCCACCAACAATACTAACAGAACAATAGCAGTACGTTTGTAGATGTCACTGGGAATGCCTTTCGACTGTGATTGAATTAAGTTGTCTTGCAAACTGCAGATTCAGAAAATGGCAAGTGGCCTGTTGCTGCAGAACCGGTGGTGCCATATACGATTAATTGCGTGTGCAACCAATTATGCGTGGTAACAGCTGCTTTCAGCTATGACAAATTGCGTTGTTTGTAGTGTGGACTGTTTGTATTGACACATCTGATGGTTACCTTATGCGTTTAATTCTTGTGTATGCTACTGGCGTTACCAAAACTGCAGTCGGTGTCTATTTCATAAGGGACAGCGATAGGCATTGTTTGTGGTTGTCATCGGCACAGGAACGGGTCAGCGATGGGATGAAATGCGGTTAAATGATTACCATTACTAATCATTGCCATTATCAGTGCCAACAGAACAATGCCCCTTGAAACCACAATCACAACTACCTAAATACCAGTTTGGCAAGAACAACGTGAAGCTAACACCTCTACTAAACCAACAATATCACTACCGTTACTACTATCGTCATTAACAATAGAATTACAACAATACCCAGTATGAGATAACCAATATAGCTACCATCAACACAATACCCAAATATTAGCAATGCGGAATCGTTACCATCAAATAAAAATATGACAATACCAAAATGAAACCACTATTATCGCCACCAATAAGATCAAAAGGACAATAGCAATAAGAAACCACACTATTCTGCCGTCACCGGTATCACCGTAACAATACCAGTTTGAAACACTATCACCACCACCACCACGACCAACAACAACAACGTAACAAAAGCTATAATTAACCACCGCTATCAGCACCAAAAACATCACTGTAACAATACCAATATGAAACCAATACTGTCGTTACCAAAAACATCAGCGTAACAATACCAGTATGAAACCACAGTTTTTGCCACCAACAATACCAGCGTTACAATACCAGTATGAAACTGTCACTTCTATCACCAAACAACATCAGGGTAACAATACCAAACAAAACAACAACCACCACCGCCACCAACAGCATGAACGTAACAATACCAGTATGAAACGACCACTATCGCTGACAACAATAGCACCAAAAGAGTACTAGCATGAAACTACTTAGAATTCCACTAAAATGACCAACACACACACACACACAAACACACACACATTCACACACGCACACACACACACACACACATACACATGCTCACGAAAATCCAGGCTGGGTTCATCAGAGGAGAATGGATTACATCTTTGTGCTGGGTTGTGCAGATGTTCGAGGCAACTAGCGTGCAGATAAACTTGCAGACACTGCAGTAGATAAGGCTGGACCGGTACTGGACTGAAGATGTCACGAGTTCCATGTGCAGCACTCACCGTGAAGAGAAATACGACAGGGGTCATGACTCCGCATCCCCGACGAGGTTGAAGCACATGGTGTGGAACCTAGTGCTGCAAGAAAGTAAATTACACCAAGTGCATAAGATGTTTGATTAGGACCACAGAAAAGACGCCATTAGTCGTTTACGCTTTTGGAGATACTGCAGTGGAAATAGCAACAACTAATGGATCTATCATGCATTATGTGAAAAGATATGGAAATATGGTATCTGGCCAAAAGACTGGAAGAGAACTATCTTCATTCCAATACCAAAAAAGGGTGACCTGAAATTATGCTACAAACTACGAACATTGCCCTGACACAAACTAAAAATTATAATGAGAAGACTAAGAAGAGATCAATGTAGCTCATCGCTGGATTTAGACAGGGAAGAGGAACAAGAGATCATATATTCAACATGCGTTTAATACAAAGTGTACAGACTTTAATGTAAATCTGTTCTTATGTTTTGTGGATTATTCAAAAGCATTTGACTGTGTACAACATCAGAAGCTTTGGGAAATCATGAGGAATATGGGCTTTCCATCACATATAGTGCAGCTCATTAAAATGCTCTATCAAGACCAACAAGCAGCAGTCAGAATAGATGGAGAGACATCAGACTGGTTTTGGGCATCAAGCAAGGAGTCTCAGGGATGTGTGCTGTCACCGTATTTGTTCAACCTGTACGCCGAAAATATAATGAGAAATGTAAGAGATGATATAAACAAGGAACAATATGATGCCCTAAAGGTGGTCATGAAATACCAGAAATTCGTTATGCTGATGATACAGTATTACTATCAACATCACAAAATGGTTTAGAAAAAACTTATTAACCTCACTCCAAAGAAATAGTGAAAATCATAACTTATTTCTTAACACAGCATCCAAAGATAATGCATACAAACAAAACTGCCATGGAGAAGGAAATATATGTTTGAGGAAAGATTGGAAGTGGTGGAAAATTTCGATATCTTGGGTCACTGGTTACCAACAATGGTGACACAATGAAAGAAATGCGACTATCAATTGCTCTTCAAAGACTAAAACAACTGAATAAATTATGGAATTGTACAGATAGAATTACAAAGGTCAGATTTTTAAGAGCATGCATCTTTCCCATTGCAAACATACGCCTGTGAGACCTGGACACTTACTAAACAAGCGGAACAGCGCCACATTTGAATATAAATGTGTTACAGAGGTTCTAAGAATATCTTGGGTAATGCATCCATACTTCAAGAGCTGAATATTGATTGGCTAGTAAAGACAATAAAACAAAGAAAATTGAAATATTTTGGTCATTGAAACGTCATGGAGGTCTAGAGAAACAATAATGGAGGGGTAGAGAGGAAGAGGAAGGCCAAGGAGAAGATGGGTGCAGGATGTGGCAGATGATCTCCAGATGGGTGTATCAGACGCAGGACATCTTGCTCATGATAGGAAGGTTTTCCGGAGGGTTGTTATGGCAGCGAGGTTCCGCGAGGGACATGCTACTGAATGAATGAATGGATCTACCTAGATCACTAATAATAAATACCACTACACAAAATATATGAAACTATCACCATCGCAGCAAACAATACTAACATAACAACAGTATCAAACTACAACTAACGTTCCTTCCCGTCCTTTTCAGGATGAAATCTTTCGTTATTTTAAACCCTAGTCTGGCTTTGTCAGGGGCCGCAATATAGCCTGTAAATAAGGCCTAAAGGCTGAACGCGGTTTCTGGGACCTCTCCACGGTGATCCTCACCCAAGTGGTGGCGCATTGTGTCATCTCGTGTTTATCGCTTGTGTGATGTCCTGGTGGGGTAGAAAGTCAGTCAGTCAGACAACTAACGACACTATACTGGCACTGTAGTCACTACAATACCTACTATATATACATGAATGCATACGTAATATGATAATATTGTTTCAGTCTCATCTGTTTTTCTTTTCCATTTCATTTCAGAATTTAAAGGTAGTTTTTCTGAAGTTTGTAAAATCTCAGCTTGGATCAAAATGCACACCTCAGATAGAGTCAGCATGGAACAAACTGCTTTCAGCCCAGAACGCTGTCTTCCAGAGTACGGCAGACGAAATCCTGGGCAAGAAGTAGACAACACAATCGATATTTGATTTGCAGTGTGAGAATAAATCAGAAAGCATGGAAAAAAAGAACGCAAGAGAGTTTATGGTTTTATACAAATTACAATGTTTATATTGTGTGCTTATATGAGGAAGTGCAACTGTACTATTTGTGTGTGCGTTGTTCTTAGACTGTGAATCGGGAAAAAAGAAATCGATTTACATTAGACAGCACAAACAGCTTTTAACAAAATCAAGTTTGAAGCATCTGACTTTGGCGTTGCAGTTACGAGAAGTTTCAAAGTTGTGTTTTAGAAATGAAAGCTGGTTTCCAACAGATGTTTGAAGTTGGCCAAATAATTTAGTTACTTACAAAAATACTGTACAGGAAATGTAACACACAAAACTTTTGTGTTACTGAGATTTTTACACTTATTAAATTATTAGAAACACTTGGAAGCTTCTTTGTATACGTATTTTACTTTTAATTATGATTAAATTATCTTTATTGTAATGTAGAATGCAATTTATTCAAAAATAAATACAGTATCAGCGAGTTTTGTTAAAATTAAGTACCACTCAGAATGTGAGTGTATGTGAGTAAATGAGAGAGAGAGAGAGAGAGAGAGAGAGAGAGAGAGAGAGAGAGAGAGAGATAGAGAGAGAGAGAAGAGAATGTTGAATTAGGAATCGACTTTTTAGCACTCCCATAAGAGCTCTCACACACACACACACACACACAGAGAGAGAGAGAGAGAGAGAGAGAGAGAGAGAGAGTGAGAGAGATGAGGGAGGGGGAGGCATGGGAAATTGCCAGAGTAACTCTTGCGGCCAGTATCTACTGTTCTACTAAAGAAACTAAAAAAAAGTTGTTTCAATGGGAATAGTCCTGCTACGACTTAAAGAAACTTACAACTGTTTTATACTCTGTCCCTTTACTAGTCACTAAAGTTGCAGGTGATCATAAACTGGGCTATCCGTATAAGAAGGTGAGATTCAGAAGCCATGTGCGAGACAAGAATAAATTACTTTTTAGGATTTGCTTGAATGGACACCTTATTAAATGTCATTAGCATCGTGGCTGCCAGGGTCTCAGTTGCGAGGCTGCTGGTTAGAAGCAAAGGCGCTACTTTCCTTTTGATGATTTTGTTTCCCTGGAGCTCACGGTAAACATCAACTCACGGTAAACGTTCATGTCATTCGCTCGCTGCGCTTGACTGATCCATCCTTATAAACCACAGCATCGCCCAAGAATGCCACGTTCAGTGCTCTTGCCATCCCTTGATTGTAATATGAAGGTGTTTAGTGATCCAAACTCAAGCAAACGACATTTTATTGTTGAAAAGCAAACACAATAGTCGTACATTCGATCTTATGCCGCAATTTCAGAGTGGAAAGAACGACGGCAGCTCCAACACTGAGAATGGCTTTATGACAGCAACTGATCCCGTAACATAATCGTTATCAACAATAAGAGAAATAATTAATTTTTCTGCTGCTGTTCCTGCATGAATTTATCACTTTTACGCTGTAGGCAGAGGTGTCTTTGAGCCTTATAACTTAGAGTTGCACGGCTCTTGTTGTCGACCCTATGTCTCTCTCATGAAAGTCCTGCGTACTTAATCGTTCGGCCAGCCGCTCTTCGACAGCAAAAATAACAGAAAATTTCTTCGTTTTCTTTGTTGCACCTTTCTGACTTTCTATAGGAAAGTGTTCGGTTGGGCCACTGGGAAGCATGACAACCACAGTCCATGGCGACATCAGTTAAGGAAAAGAATGGTGTGTCTTCATTAAGCAGCACACGGCCTGGACAGTAGACTAAAAGCTATGGATTTTCCGTGCCACATAATCACTTTCTCGTCCCGTCTGACTTCAAACGAAAGTTACATACGTAAATTTGGAACTAAGTGTGCTTAGTTAGCATCCTTTGGATATTTTCCCCAGGTCATGCTAGTGTGTTGGCAAATGAGCAGACAGATATACTGGCTGGTTTTGCACTTCTTGGTGGTAAACTTATGTATGGCAAGCTAGAAGTTGTGAGGGCCCTTTTTTTGAGCGAGTGAAAAGTGTGGACGCCCAGACAGATTATTACGTTCTGAGGAGAATAGCGGTTAGAGGTGTTACCAGGACATCTGACTGACGCTTAACACTCAAGGAAAGGCGAGACGGAGATACATTCAGACATTTACTGATGCCATCGGGGAACTCTTCACGTGCTGCTTAAGCTGGTGATGGAGCGCTTATGGGAGTGCTTAGAGTGCTGTGATGTCAACAAAGTGTTATAGTTAACAATTTAACCAAGAGTAGCAGTTAATTTGTTTATGCCGACTGAATTCTCGTAAATAGTTACACACGTTCCCTTTTATTATTATTCTATTGCACTCTATTCTCTATTGCAGAAAAGTAACATCTCCAGCTCCCCATTGTTAGTAAAATCTATCTTAAATCCTTTTCATCGTCCACTATTTCCCTCCTTTCAATCTGTTTGTCATTTGACTTGCAGTTGAGTAAAATTATATAGTTACACCCTGGGAGCCGCCGTGGTTCGGCAACTAGACGCTCCTCGTGGGTTGGGATCCTGATAGGGAACTGGACTTTGTTTTCAGACCTTGGCTTCCAGGTGGACCCAGCCTTGAGTGGGTACCAGGTACAGTCATGGGAAGTAAAGGCGACCGGCGTGATGTTGACCACATCATCACCAACTGCCGTTTGGTCTATAAAACATAGGTCTAGCTCTTTATACCCAATACGCCCGAAGGGCGTGGAAAAGGGTCGTTTACTTTTAGGTTTTATAGTTATATACTGGTCAGGTTTCCTCAACGTATGTCATTTTCAGCGCCAACGTTTTTTCTTCCTCTCGTCTTGATTAGATACACTTTGTTAGTTTTGTCTCAGTGTTCCCCATATGTAATTTGTCAAACGATCGTATCAGGAATGTCTAATGAGGAGCTTTATTAGAGAACGAATTGTATTTACTTTGGACAATCATCAACTAATGTCTGCGGCTTAACAGTTATAAGCGCATAATTTCAACATACAAACTGATTCACCTGTAGCCATTACTGCAGCAAATTACTTCGCCTTGATTTCGACACTGTTATGAGAGTTGTACGGATCAGAAAGCAATGACAAACTACCGAAAGTAAAATGTCTTAGGAAAACCACATACAACCAATGAAATTCTGGGGCTGGTTGCAGCGTCCTGTAAAGGACATATAGCAGATTAACAAGCTGTTATTTGTTTATAGTTCGCTGGTAATGTTTCAGTCGTCCTCTATGAGCATAAGGTTGAGAGTAAGTATTTCATGTTGAGTGCTTGGTTTCTGTTGACCTTCACAGGTTTCCTAGTACCATAAAATTTCTTCTTGCTTTTGTGTGTGTGTGTGTTTCTGTTGGCAGCATAACCGCCTACATTGTCATCTTTCTCTAAATGTTCTCTAAGCATCCCCGGTATTCTTACTACAAATAGCTTGACTTTTTCATGTTTCAGCTGATAACTTCCTAATTCTATTTTCAAGGGACTTAATAAATTTTATGAGTTTTGGCTTCACGTACATATTGGTTAGATCCCTTTACCCTATATTTACAGTTGTTTTCCACTGGAGTTGATAAATACTGTTTTTCCCAATGATTCAGAAAATGGCGTGTGGCCTGTCGTCGCAATATTAGTGGTGCCCTTATGTGATTAAAACTGATCGCGTGTGCAGCTGCTGATTTTTTTTTTACCTCTGCTACCGTCGATGATGAACTGCATTTCTAATGTCGGATTGTTTGTCTTAGCCCTTCTGATGGCTACCATATGCTTTTAATGCGTGCGTATGCTAGTGCGTATGCTGAGACATCAGTCTGGCAATCTTTCCACAAGGGACTGTGATAAACATCCTGTGTGTTTTTTGTTGGCAGAGGAGCAGAGCAAGTATAGGGTGACCCGTCTGCTATGAAGCTGAAACTAACATTACTTTTACTAAACACATCGGATGTATGCTTTCGTTTATAACTTCATACACCCACTTTCTCCACTTCGCATGCGTACAGTTTCTTTACCCAGACGAGACTGCCAGATAAATCTTTCTAGGGCATTAAATAATTTTTTGTCGCCCACATTCGACTTCCGCCCACATTCAAATTGTCTTATTTTCCATTTCGCACGGGTTTAGCGAGATTCATTTGGCCAACATTTTATCCCTGCATCCCGGTTGGTGCTCGTTAAATTCAAATATCTAATTCATATTCAATACCTGACGTTATTCCTATTGTAACATAATTTATCAGGGAGAAAATAGTTCACTAAAACAAGACACCCCCCCCCCACCCCCTCCCTTTAAGCCAAATATTTAAAAAAATGTGATTTGTAAAGAGGAGGATGAACAGAAAAATCCAAGCCTCTTAAACAAAATTTAGAGAAAAAAGCCTACATAAGTCAAAGTGTCAGGTAAAAAAAAAACAAAAACGAATCAATCAAGAACAAATGGTAATTTAGTATTCAAATATCAAGATGATGGTTGACATTGTTTTGCCTTGAGTAAATCTGCCATTTGTGGTCTGAAATTAGACAAGGCAAAACGAAAATCGCTTTTCACTTCCAGCCGGCAATGATTTAAAAAAAAAAAAATTGTCTTGGTTATGGCAAAGATTTCTGGCCCAGAAAGAGAGGAACTTCCCTTGCCATTCATGCCTCGTCGTGTCTCAGGGCCTGTCCTATGGTGCAGGGGTGTCACGTTTAGTGACCGGCCAGCAGCACGTAGTATTATACTTGTTGTCCACGGCTGGCGATATCGCGTATTCTATATTTACGATGTGAGTGCTTTTAACGGTGTCAAAACATGAATAAGTGGTCCTAACCCCAACCCCCCCCCCCCTCATCCTACACCCTCAGCCTACGTCCCACGATTCCATGCAGTTTAGGTCGCACGACTGTATGCAGCGTATATTATAGGCTGGCTAGAGACTTTGCCCCGGGGACACCATATCTGCATCGTTGGGAATATTTATGATATGGCACTGACCCCGTTGCCGCCACAGCCTAAAATT